AGGGATGGAGGTAATTATGGCACTATGACAAGCATTCCACAAATAGCTAAACAGAAACTCCTGTTTATATCTGTCAGCCACGGCTCCCTGATTGGACCAGATTAACAGTCTCAATTAGGGAACTCATTCTCAGAGGCTGACCTTATTGCAATCATTACAATAGCCACTTTTGTAGGCTTTTGCATTTTTTTTAAGCAGTAATTGAAGTGGTTGCTGACAAACTGGAGGTAATGGGTTCTGTGCATAGATGCAGCTGGGTGGTGATAAGTTGGTTGGTCTATGGACTGTACAAAACCCATAGTTATCATGAAGAAAACTGGTTCATCAGAGTCAGAGACCTTTTGTAATCAAACCAGTCATCTTGTATCTCTTGCAAATTGAAGCATCTGGGGAAAAGTGACTGAGAAGCAATGTTCTGACCAGTGTCAGAATCATAAGGATCATCTCGGCAGTTCCTAACAACCACTGAACTGCCTTCCCACCTTTCTTCCACCTGTGATCTATTTTGCCTTGTATGTCTGTTTGTGAGGGAGGGAGAGTTTATTACAGGATTGGAGTTTTGATTTATAGTGACCATGATTTGTAGTGACCATGATGGTTGGGGATGCATAGATATCCAACAATTTTTTGATTGGTCCAATAGCTGGTATTGAAAGTCAAGTGCAGGGTTCAATAGGAAAAAAGTGAAAAAGGGTTTGAAAAATAAATAACTTCCAAATAGCAGGAGACACCAAGGTAAGTTTGAATAACTCTTCAATGCTGTCAAACCCCATATTGCCATCTTGATGACAAAGCTAACTACCTTGTCTCAATGGATCGAAGAAATGAAGGGTTCAGAGAGAAATGAGACAACAAATGCTGCAGATGTGTTAAATCTGTATTTTCTTGTTAGATCTACTTACTAATGATTTCAGCTGTATTGATACACCAATGTTGAGAACATTTACACTGTATTTATAATATATTTAGAGAATTAAAAGCCATTCTGCCATGGTTTTACCACAAGTGCTGCTCATGTCACCTAGTACACTCAATCTTGTTTCAAGGAAATTTGAACAGGTGACCAGAGAGAGTGCACACAATGAGCTTCATTTTGAGGGTGTTGGGGGTTACTTGGAAGGAAGGTCAGTCACTAGCAGATACTGTGGAAGAAGTACAACTCAAGACTATTGGATGCTGTGAGCAGACTGAGTTACTTGAATGAAATTTCTCCGACTCAGTGAGAGGAGGTCCTGCCTTCAGAAGCTGCTAGCCAATCTGATGCAAGGTACTGCTGTGATTGCAAGGAGGGGATGGCTGTCCTAGAAAGCTGCTGTCTGGTGCTCCAGGTTTAGAAAAGGAGGTGGGATGAGAGGGAGATTGATATTTTTGGGTGGTGCTCCTGACGCACAGGGAGTGCCCCCGAATGAAGTACCCCTCTCCCTCCACTCTTCTCATTTCGGCCACAAAAAATGGTCTGCCCATTCCCAACTGCCTGCCCATGTCAGATGTATTGTGGTGTTGGTAATGTTGTATCCAAGTCAATAAGATTGCTGACAAGTTTAGTTGATGTTTACTTATCAATTTAAATGCGGCAGGTGACTTGTGGAATTTGTTGCCCACTTAGCATATTGGGAAGGAGCTCAGCTTGTGTGAATGCAAAGGATCTGAGCGGTTAGCCACCTGATGCATTTTACGTGTCTCCCAATCCTTGGCTGAAAATATGCCTGGTTGGGGAGGTGTTAAATCCAACCCAATATTAGAGGGATGGCCCTCATTTGAGGAACAATTGATATACTACTTTAAATTGATATACTACTTTAGCTTGGGAAATGGTAAGTATTATGGAATGGTGCAAGCTGTACCTTAGTTGGTTTAGACTGTGGCATCCTTTTGAATCAGTAACAGCTTGGATTGTCGTTTATTTTAACTGCATAATTAAAGTAGGAGATCACCCATTTTTCATCCATTTTTCTGATGATTCATCACAGCAAGGGAATCAAAGAAAGTTCAAGAGGAGGAGCCCACTGCTGGTGATGCAGGGCAGGCAGGAAGAAATGACCTGTATGCATGCTAAAGATAATAATTCAGAAACAGAGATACTAGGAGCAGGAGTAGGCTGTTCGTCCTTTTGAGCTTGTTCCACCATTCTCCCTGATCATGACTGATCCTCAGCTTCATTACCATAATCCTGCTTTCACCCCATGCCCTTTGATGCCTTTCATGTCTAAAAATGAACCACTACATTCTGTGGGAGAGAATTCCACAAGTTCAGTAAAGTTGAGTAAAGACATCTTTCCACATCTCAGTCGAAATAGCCAGCCCCATATCCTGAGACTGTGATCACTAGTTTTGGACTTTTCAACAACTAAGGATTGCTGCACTTTTTTTGGAAGCATGTAAAATAACGCTCAAGTAAACATTTGTGTGTTCAGGTTTGTAGAATGAGCTGGGGCTACTGGGTGCATATGAATGGATCTTTGGCCGACCAAAAGTATTTGATTTGTCTGTGTACCAATGATCAGTTATCGATGACAGATCTTCTGCTTGCCAACAACTATGTGCTTGGCTCCCAGGTAGCTAAACAGGTTGGGGATGTGAATGTTTGGGAAATGCCATAGGGTCTCTGCAAAAGCAGAAGCTGTAGCTGCACTTTGCAGTTACAAACACCTTGTACCTGAAGAAAGTCAATTTAGTTCCACTTGTCAGTTGCTGTTGCTGTGACCTTTAAATAATAAGTCAGAGACTTTTATAAGTATGAACCAGTCAACCCGCAAAAAAATCAAGTATTTAGGAGAAGGAAGGTTGAAAAGCAGCGTTATGATCAACAAAAGAACCATCTCATCAAACACTGTGGACAGGGACCACTGAATTGCCTTTCCAATCATTCCTTTCACCCATAATACATATGTTTTGTTTTTGTCTGTCTACTAATATAGGTACAGAGGGAGTTCATAATTGGGTTAGAATTTTAACTAGTAGATGATGTGTCAGCAGTTTGTATTTGTTTATCGGTAGGTCAAATCTGTTTATTTGTACTGAGTAGTAATCCTTATAGAGTATAGAGCCTGGTCCACACTTTTTGTCATTTTGGATCTAAAAGAGAGGTGAATTCTGTGTACTTTTTGAAAATCTTTAACTTCTGTGATGATCCAGGAATAGTCGAGTTTGATTTTTCCAGTTCACGCCTGAAAGATGCATAACAGTGTTGTGCTCATCTGGACAAACACAAAAATGCAAAATGTTTCAGATAAGAATGGTGCTGATACTATGTGTTGCACTCATCAGGATAGACTGAAGAATGCAAAATTTCAAATCACAACAGTTTCTACTACTTAAAAAAAAGGGGTACTGATTGGTTGTCAAGTTGGTTTTCGTTGGCTGAGGCATTTCTATTGGAAAAGCAATGGGGCACTATAGGCTCCCCGGGTTTTTATTGAAAGGTCCAACAGGTTGGAAGGGCTGAATGGACTGTTCCTAGATATTTTTCTAATCAGCGTGTTCAGAGATGTTATGACATACTTTTGGAGCAGGTGGGATTTGTGCCACATGAGTCCTATTCCAGTTCTTATTTGTTATTATGCAATTTAAAAATGTGCGAGGTTTGAACATATTCCTTTTGCTTTCAGAGAACAGATCCCTGCTTATGAGCACAAGTCACTTCTGGCAATTTTAAATATGTCACGTTATGAGTATAAAAACCGAAAGAACTGTGGATGCTGTAAATCAGGAACAAAAACAGAAGTCGCTGGAAAAGCTCAGCAGGTCTGGCAGCATCTGCGAAGAAAAAATCAGAGTTAACGTTTCGGGTCCGGTGAATTTAAATTGGTTGTTGTTGTAGCTGTTCGTGCACTGGCAATTGTTTTATAAGTTCTGTCCAATCATGGATTCAGTTCTAACAGTATTGTATTGGGTTTTGCAAGTGTGAGCTTCCACTTGTATTGAACCTCTGGAGGAATATTGTGTTTGGCTTGATCAGCCACTTGTTTGGATGTGTCACCTGTGCATCTGGAATTGCTCTGGCAGTGAAGCTTATACATATATACCTCAATTATGTGGTAGGCAGAATATATTTTTGGACTGATGGCAGTGTCCTGTTAATAGAAGATGTAATTCTTGTAGTCATTGCATAATAGCATTGAAATGGCTTGGCTTTTGCACACCTTGCAAGCTTTACACAGATATTGAATATATCAGAGCTAGTCTTGGGACAGTGGCAGACCAGGTCAATGTTTACTGTTTGTTTAAACAAATCAATCAAATTCGCAAATGGACCAAAGACTGCTATTTTAAGACCTGCAAAGTGCCTAGTCTATCTCAAATTGCCCTGGCAAAGGAATTTTAAAAAATTGAACTACAGGTTAAGTAAACTGTTTCAAATTTGACATTCTTGTGATTGTCCTGATGAGTACAAGTTGGAAAATGTCATCAATATAATTCTGTTATACATTAAAATAACTTGCAATAACTTTAAAAAACCTTTTATAAAGTTAAATTTAACATATAGAAAATGTTATCTACCTTGAGATTTCTTTGGGTGCTTTGCAAGCTTTTTCTGTGAAATGCTTCTGGTCTGTCATGCCCTTCTAGAGAGTTTTCTCCCCTGATGGTTTGATGGCACATGGTTTCAGCAATTGATGGAGTCTTTGGGAAAATCTCATTGAAATTGAGTTGGGGGCATTTATTTGGTGGTAAGCCTCATTGGCGCAATTTCCTCATGGTAATATTTGGCATTGTCCAAATAGGTGCATTTCCAGAGAAACATCTTACCTTGTTTGAGGAATATGTTGCCCTGATTTAAACACACTTCTGGAATAATTACATCAATTCTACTCTTGAAAGCATTCTACTTGCCTGACCCATGGTATGCAAAGTACATCTTTGTGTCATAATCTGTTTTGTTTCGTCCATAACTAGATGTGACAAAGGAGGTAAACGTTTTGTTTACTCTGTTAAGTTTAATCCAGTAGAAGTAATTGAAAAATGCTTTTAATGGTTTACAGTCTTTTTACTGTGTTTAGATTTATGACTGTAATAGATGTCAAGAAAGAGTGGGAAATTAGAGGAATTTTTGTCACCATAAGGAAGAAGCTAGAAGACTGGATGTACAATGTCAAAGTGGACAAATATAAACCATCCAAGCAAGTAGATTTTTTTTCTTACTTAAAGTTTATCATGTAGCTGTGCCTGATTTTTGTGTCTACTGTTGTATGTCATGGACATTGTCTTCATTACTGAAAATCATGCCTTTGAATATATACATATATAAATAATAAAACGCCTGCACCTATGCATTATTAGACAAATAAATGCTTCTAAGTGCATCAAAATTTTGACTTGATCTGGAGGATAAAAGTTCATTACAGTTGGGTCATAAATGATAGAAACAACATACATTGCGTGTAGAGGTAGGCCTACCAAAATATTTTAAATTCATTGGAATAAATATTAGCAATCATCTGAAGTGAGGACTGAGGCATTTTAATAATAAATTCAGTATCAATTGACTTGTGAATAAAGTTAAACTATTTTAATTCAGTTTATAAGTACCAATGAGGAATAAATTTGCAGCAGGAAATTGAAGCATCAAGTTGCTCACTCGTATAAACTAACCAACCTCAACTGACATTGCATAGATAACAATCTATCAAACTGTACAAAAAGCTTTTGTGAATTTGTCTTTAAGTATGCTTTCTTTTCCACAGCTGAAAAGTTGTAACATGCAATGTGTGCAAAAAGCCCATCAAATTTGTTCTGTAAAATCCTTTTTGTAAAAAAAACTTATTCTTATTCATTCTGTTCTCATTCTTATGTATTCTGTTTTCAAGAAGGATCACTGGACCCAAAATATTAACTCTGAATCCTTTCTACAGATGCTGCCAGACCTGTTGAGTTTTTTCACACAATTTCTATTTTCTTTTCCTGATTTTCGGCATCTGCAGTTCTTTATTCTAGTTATTATTTTTATTCTTTTTATTATTCTTATTCATGATTTGCTTTTAATTCATTCACAAAATTTGGGTCATCTGGATAGGCTAGCATTTGTTCCCTAGCACCAGCTATTTTTGAGAAGATAGTGATGTGATAGGAGCCATGGTGAGTTCTTGAAGAGCATCTTGTGGATGGCATTAACTGCATCACTGTGGATTGCTGATGAAGGGAGTGAATTTTGAAGGTGATGGAAGGGGTGCCAATTAACAGGGCTACTTTATTCCAGGATTTTATTGAGCTTCTTGAGTATTTTTGGAGCTGCAATCATCCAGGCAAGTGGAGAGTGACATGTACCTGGTGGAATGTGAGCAGGCTTTGAGGAGTCAGGAGGTGAATTATTCACCATAGAAGTCCCAGCCTCTGACCTGTGCTTGTAGCTAGAATATTTAAATATCTACATAGATTCCCTGAACATTTTAGTGCTACTGCCCCGCATTTTCACTTTAACCCTGTGCACTGTTTCGATTTAAATAATCATGAAGGCCTTCTTGAATGCTTGAATTGAACCTGCTTCCACCACAGTTCTAGATAGGGCATTCCAAACCCTTATGTTACTTGCTACTTGTCAGTCCAAGCCTCAATATTGTCTACGTCTAGCTCCTTTGGAAGAAGACTGATTCAGTATTTGAGGTGACCTTGATGGCATGCTCGGGTCAAATGCAATCTTGATGTCAAGGGTAGTCACTCTCACTTTGCCTCTTGAGTTCAGCTCCTTTCGTCCACGTTTGGACCAAGGCTGTAATGAAGTCTACAAACAGATTAAGTACCACTATCGATGAAAGTTTATGTGGTAGTGTTCCTGCTCCAGAGGTGTGTAATAACATCATTGAACAGGTTAATTAAAAAAAAGGTTAGATTTAAAAAAATAGATTGATAGGGTGGTATTTTGCCAGATGGGTTTGTTCTGCTTTTTGTACAAAAGATGTATCAGGAAAAATTTCCACATTGCCATGTGGATGCCAGTGTTATAACATTTTGGTTAAGAGTATGTCTTAAGTACTATTCCTGGAATGTTGTCAGAACCCATAGCATTTGTAATATCCAGAGTCTTTCAGTTATTTCAATATCCCATAGTAAATCAAATTGACTGAAATTTGGCATCAGTGATGCTGCGGACCTCAGGGGAAGTTTGAGATGAATTGTTCACTTGACACGTCTGGCAGAAAATGCTTACAAATACTTCAGTTTTATCTTTTATACTGATGTGCTGAGTGCCCCAATCGTTGATGGGCACATATCTGGTGATGGCCTGGTGGTATTATCGCCAGACTATTAATCCAGAAACCCAGCTGATGTTCTGGGTACCTGGGTTCGAGTCTCACCATGGCAGATGGTGAAATTGGAATTCAAAAAAAAGGCCTGGAATTAAGAATCTATTGATCACCATGAAATCATTGCCGATTGTCATAAAAACGCATCTGGTTCACTAATGTTCTTCAGGGGAGGAAATCTGTCATCCTTACCTGGTCTGACCTACACGTGACTCCAGACCCACAGCAATGTGGTTGACTCTCAACTGCCCTCTGAAATGGCCTAGCAGATGTACCAATTGCTACAAAGACTCAAAGACATGAAACTGGACAGATTATCTGGCATCAGCCTTGGCACCAGAAAAGACAACCGCAGAAACAGCCCTGTCGACCGTGCAAAGTCCTCCTCACTAACATCTGGGCATTAGTGCCAAAATTGGGAGAGCTGTCTCACAGACTCATCAAGCAACAACCTGACATAGTCATACACACAGAATCATACCTAATAGACAATCCCCCAGACACCACCAACACCATTCCTGGATATGTGCTGTCCCACCGGCAGGACAGACCCAACAGAGGGGGCGGTACAATGGTATACAGTCGGGAGGGTGTTGCTCCAGGAATCCTCAACATTGACTCTGGACCCAATGAAGTCTCATGACTTCAGGTTAAACTTGTGCAAGGAAACTTCCTGCTGATTACCACATGCCATCCTCCCTCAGCTGATGAATCAGAACTCCTCAATGTTGAACAACACTTAGAGGAAGCACAGAGAATGGCAAGAGCACAAAGTGTAGTCTGGTTGGGGGATTTCAATACCTACCACCAAGAGTGGCTCGGCAGCAGTACTCCTGATCAAGCTGGTCGGGTCCTAAAGGACGTAGCTACTAGACTGGGTCTGCGGTAGGTGGTGAGGGAACCAACAAGAGGGCAAAACATACTTGACCTCATCCTTACTAATCTGCCAGCTGCAGTTGCATCTGTCTATGACAGTATTGGTAAGAGTGACCATCGCACAGTCCTTGTGGAAACGAAATCTCGTCTTCACATTGAGAACAACCTCCATCGTGTTGTGTGGCACTATCACTGTGCTAAATGGGACAGACTTAGCACAGATCTAGTAACTCAAGACTGTGCATTTATGAGGCGCCGTGGGCCATCAACAGCAACAGAATTGTACTCCAGCACAATCTGTAACCTCATGGCCCAGCATATCTCCCACTCAACCATTACCATCAAGCCAGCGGATCAACCCTGGTTCAATGGAGAGTGCAGGAGGGCATGCCAGGAGCAGTCCCAGACATACCTAAAGATGAGGTATCAATCTGGTGAAGCCACCAAACAGGACTACTTGCGCACCAAACAGCGAAAGCAGTAAGTGATAGACAGAGCTCAGTGATCCCAACGGATCAGATCTAAGCTCTGCAGTCCTGCCACATCCAGTCGTGAACGGTGGTGGACAATTAAACAACTCAGTGGAGGAGGAGGCTCTACAAATATTTGCATCCACAATGATGGAAGAGCCCAGCACATCAATGCAAAAGATAAGGCTGAAGCATTCGCAGCAATCTTCAGGCAGAAGTGTGGTGTGGATGATCCATCTTGGCCTCCTCCAGTAGTCCCCAGCATTACAGATACTAGTTTGCAGCCAATTCAATTCACTCCACGTGATATTAAGATACGGTTAGAGACACTGGATACTGCAAAAGCTATGGACCCTGACAGCATTCCGGCAACAGTACTGAAGACTTGTGCTCCAGAACTTGCCGCTCCCCTAGCTAAGCTGTTCCAGTACAGTTACAACACTGGCATCTACCCGACAATTTGGAAAATTGCGCAAGTATGTCCTGTACAGAAAAAACAGGACAAATCCAACCCGGCCAGTTACCGCCCCATCAGTCTACTCTCAATCATCAGTAAAGTGATGGAAGGTGTCATCAACAGTGCTATCAAGCAGCACCGACTCAGAAATAACCTGCTCAGTGACGCCCAGTTTGAGTTCCACCAGGGCCACTCAGCTCCTGATCTCATTGCAGCCTTGGTTCAAACATGGACAAAAGGGCTGAATTCCAGAGGTGAGGTAAGAGTGACAGCCCTTGATATCAAGGCTGCATTCGACCGAGTGTGGCATCAAGGAGCCTTAGCAAAACTGGAATCAATGAGTATCAGGGGCCAAATGCTCCTGTGGTTGGAGTCATACCTGACACAAAGGAAGATGGTTGTGGTTGTGGGAGCTCAATCATGTCAGCTCCAGGACATCTCTGCAGGAGCTCCTCAGGGTAGTGCCCTAGTCCCAACCATCTTCATGTGCTTCATCAATGACCTTCCCTCCAATCATGTTCGCTGATGATTGCACAATGTTCAGCACTATTCGTGACTCCTCAGATACTTAAGCAGTCCACGTTCACATGCAACAAGATCTGGACAATATCCAGGCTTGGTCTGACAAGGGGCAAGTGACATCCGTGCCACACAAATGCCAGGCTGTGACCATCACCAATAACAGACAATCTAACCACCGCCCCTTGACATTTAATGGTGTTACCATCACTGAATCCCCCACTATCAACATCTTGGGGGTTACCATTGACTGGAAACTCAACTGGACTAACCACATTAACACAGTGGCTGCAAGAGCAGGCCAGAAGCTAGGAATACTGAAGTGAGTAACTCACCTTCTGACTCCTCAAAGCCTGTCCACCATCTACAAGGCACAAGTCAGGAGTGTCATGGAATACTCCCCAGTTGCCTGGCTGAGCGCAACTGTAATAACACTCAAGAAGCTTGACACCATCCAGGAAGAAGCAGCCCGCTTGATTGGCATTACATCCACAAGCATTCACTGCCTCCACGACCGACGCTCAGTAGCAGCAGTATGTACTATCTACAAAATGCAC